GTTGGGGGGTCGCGGCATTAAAAAGGTTGAGAACCACTGCCCTAGTGGGAATAATAAAGTCAGTTTGTGGCTAGGCTATGTTTTTTTTTTCAATCAACCCACTAATTATTGTATAATGTAAGAAATTTTGCAAAAAGGAAAATCTCAAATCTATTCATCTGTCACAAAAGATCAGAATGGAAAAGGGAATTCTGGAAGCTCAAAGAAGCTCCTAGATCCAACTTTGAGTCTGGAATGCTAAAGTTTATTAGCCGACACAGAACACCATAAAGTTTGAACAGTATTCATACAAATAAAGACAGATGGCAAAAGATAAGCATAAAAATTACAGTTTTGCACCACTAAATCTAATATTTATATTTCCATTTTGCAACCTGGAAAACAGATACTTTAATTACTGCTTTGGTGCAAGGATATTTTGACTTTTATTGGAGATCACAGAGATTTCAGCAGCACTCTTTTTTGATCAATATTAATAGTGCAGATGCTTGACCTCTAGATTTTTGCAAACCATGAGTGATTTTTTTGAAAAATGCACTTTGTAACATTAAGTGTGATATTGATGGTGGATTATTTTTAGTAAACTTAAAAGACTCAGGAAGAAACAGGGAAGCTTCTTAGAGAATAATTTAAATATAAATCAATTAAAAGCTTCTTACTTATCATTTGGATTAAAACATTTGAGGATGCAAACTTTGGTATTGCCATTCCGAAAACAAGTCACATGGTATTTTGCTCACTGAAGTATAAGCAAATTTAAGATTATATTTAAATCATTTCAAATAAATGATTGTAAGAAATCAGAAAGAAATCACAATCACTTTTCAAAGAGCTGTATATAGTTGTCTAACTAAGAAACAATTAAGGAGGGAGACATGACTTAATCTCTCCTTAGTCCTCAAATATTGAAACTGCTGTCATGCAGCAGTCAAAACAAGTATATTCTCTATTGCTTTATTGCAGGAGTAAAACTAATAGTGGAAACTGGAGAAACAAATTTCAAGCAACTTTTGTAGAAATTTGCTAGAGCTATGTACCAGTAGAGCACTGGAAAATAGAACTCTCATTTCACTGAATTTATTATTTTTAATTATTTCAATTGTTGAAAAAAATATTTTTTAATTTTTTAAGCAAGAACACACAGCATTCCATTTAGAATGCTATAGCTGGACTGGTAGATCATTCATCAAACATGATTGAACAATAAAACCTCCAAGATCCTTTCCAGCTATATAATTCTAAGCAATACATTTAAGTATTTGCTTTAATCACAATGTATGTAGTATATAAATCCAAACATTTTAGTTGTACATCGTGGCTTATGACATAACTGTGCATGTTTTTCTGGGCTACCAGTCACAACACACCTTTCACAATTGTAGTAGTTGGAGCCAAAATAAAAACTAAATTAGATTTTGTTTACATTTAGACTTAAGTAAAATTAATTATCCTCCAGTAATGTATCTAATACTTTTAACCTTTTGCAATAATAAAATTGTAGTGATAAAAACTCTGGAGAATTCAAGGAGAAGAAGACATCCCAGGGTTTGCAGAGATTTGTATTATCCAGATTGATACAAATCTCTGCAAACCCGGGGTGTTTCCTTGAATTCTCCAAATTGTGCAAAATAGTCAGTTCAACCAACAATAGTTAATATAACATGTGAAACTATAGCCAAGATTTCCTAAAAATCTCTAAAACTTTGGCTTCTCTTGTTTAATTAATCTATCTTTGAAATTGGTGGTATAAAGTGGACTTGATACTAATTGTTGTTGTTGTTGTTAATTGCGAAGTCATGTCCGACCCATCGCGACCCCATGGACAATGTTCCTCCAGGTCATCCTGTCCTCTATCATCTTCTGGAGTCCATTTAAGTTCACACCTACTGCTTCAGTGACTCCATCCAGCCATCTCATTCTCTGTCGTCCTCTTCTTCTATTGCCCTCAATCTTTCCCAGCATTAGGCCATTCTCCAGTGAGTCCTTCCTTCTCATTAGGTAGCCAAAGTATTTGAGTTTCAACTTCAGGATCTGGCCTTCTAAAGAGCAGTCGGGGTTGATCTTGTCTAGGACTGACCGCTTTGAACGCCTTGCAGTCCAAGGGACTCGCAGGAGTCTTCTCCAGCACTATAGTTCAAAGGCCTCAATTCTTTGGCGCTCAGCCTTTCTTATGGTCCAACTTTCACAGCCATACATTGCAACTGGGAAAACCGAGGAAGGAGAAGTAGCAGAAATATTATATAATGCTGGAATTCTTCATTTTAAGGGAAATACTTTTTACTTCAATTCCAAGCAATACCAGTATGATTTCAAGATTGAAAAAACTTATTGGGAAAAAGTGTTTGAACTGGGTGGGAATTCCTAAAAAAAAAGGGGGGGTATTAATTCAAAGAATTGCAATAGAGAGAAAGAAATAAGAGCAGCAAAGAAGTCCAATGAGATGTTCACACCCCTGGAAACCACACTATTTATATCCCTGAAACAATTTCATATTGTTCTATCTCCCTCAACATGTTCATTTACAAATGTGCAAATCCAATACTAAATATGCAAAAAGATAGGCGCCTCTTTTGGTGCTTATCATTAGGTCAAAGAAGTTGGAACTCCTTTACTTCACTCTTTAAAATAGAGGAAGGGCATGATACTTCCACGAGTTGCTTCACTGGGAAGCAATTCTGACCAGGCTCTGGAGAAGTATCCTCAGAAAAAGAAAAAGAAAAATTAACTGGAGCTGTCCAGGGTCCTGACTCTAATAGTCCTTTGGACTCTGCACTTGACGGTTTATCTTTCTGATCTGTCATCCTGACTGGATTATATTTATTCTCCCATTAGTGTTTGCAGTTTTTCGTGCCCAGATCCAGCTTTCTCAAGTGCCATTGACCTCCCTCAAGTGCCATTGACCTCCCTCATGTGTACAGAATGGAATAGTTTTCTATTTCTGTTCACTCACTACGTAAAGAATGTTGATTTCAAATTAATAGATATAAACGTTCACTACAGATATATTGGTTCATATTTTTATTTTTTTCCTCATATGATCGTACAGAAGTGATTTTAGGGAGTAGATGCCTTTACCAGATAGCATTATTCCAAGAGGAAATTCCCCCAAATAAAGTAAAAAGATGTCATATTTATTCATTGTCCTTTTCTGACTAATCTAGATTCTAGAGTGTGTAATAATACTGTTTTATAAACAGCTTCTTTTTTAATAGTAGTGTTATTAAAAGGCACAGTTATAATAATAAAAACTAATACAACTTAAAAGTAGAAGGTAAAAGAAAAAAGAACTATAGCAATGAAAAAGAAGAGAAATATATAAAGAAATGTCTCCCCCTTAAATAACTTATCACCTTGTCTTAAAATACAACAAATTTATATTTTCTTCCCATATCCCATTTCTTATCTAGAAACAAATCCTTAAAGCCTCATCATTTCAACTAAAGTCCATTAAGGATTACCAAAGATAATAGCATATCTACAAATAAGTCAACTTTATATTCCTCCCTTTTACTTTTAACAATCTTGATCTTTAGTCTTTTCACATAATGTCTTTCTGATTTTTTTTATTTGTCCTACCTCAGAAAATTCTTTAAACCTGTAAGAAGCCTCTTTTGTAGGAAACAGCTTTTTTATTAAATCTTGCCTTACACCCAGATATTATATACATAACACATGACTAGACCTACTAAAATGTATACAACTCAGATCTTAGCAGCCCAAGACATATTTTATATTCAGATGACTAGAAGTTTAATTTCCATCAAATTGGTTAGTAATTCAATACAATGTAATCCAGAAGGCAGCTATTTATACAAACTGTCTTTTTTCTATGTTTAATTTCTAAACAGGAGAAATTGGGGCTGGGGACAGCTGTGGAAAGAATTAATCCTCTTAGAATTGAGCTCTGTCCAGGAACTAAGCTTTTAAAAAGTATTCCCACAGAAAGCTTGATTCAGCTATCTCTGGTCTAGTGTGTGCAGCTTTCTTCTTTATGTGCTAATTGTATTTAAGAGCAACTCTCATTTGGCCAAATTGATCTTCACTTCAAATTAATGTGCACAGGTTTGCAGCCTTAGTATTGCAATATGAAATTAACCCAATCTAGTGTTATCACAAGTGCTTCCAGCATACCCAGCCAGGCTGGGGAAGAAGACAATGGTAGCTCATCACCTCTGGAAAGGATAAATGGGACATCTAGTCAAAAGCAAGGCAGAAATATAGTACTAATTTATTGTGTGAATATGCATACATCTTTGTTTTTTGATAGATTGTTGAAGGATGTGTGGGCCAAACTAGATTGGACATTACATCATCCTTGCCCTTAACATAAAAGGCTGGTTCTGCTTTCATTTAATCTACATGCAAAAAAAGAGAAAGGAGGGAAGATTATTGGGCTCTTTCCATCATTCCCGTTTGGAGCCATCCTTCGCAACAAGGAAAAATCCAGTCTATCCAGGCTCTAAGGCACTACCAACATTTCAAATCTGTGTGCACTGAGAGGACAGCTATTTTTAAGACACCAATCCTGCACATCTATATCTAGGAATAAATCTCATTAAACTCACGAGGCTCTGAAACACAGAAGGTAAACACACACACACACACACACACACAAAACGCAGAGCTTTCAATCTTCTGAGCAATTCCAATAGCTAAACTAGCCTCAGAGAAATTCAATTCTTCTCTTGCTCCCTCGAGAGCGTTAAAAGGAGAAACTGGAAATAGCCCTTAGTTATTCGTTCCCGCTCCTTTCCGCGGACCGCAGAAAATGGGAGGCGAAACACGGGCGCGCGCACGCATACACACACACACACATACCTTGACGTGAATTCACTGAATGAGCGACGCGGGGAAAAGGTAACATTGCCATTAAATCGCAGCATGACCCCCCGCCGTGGAAGATGCCCAATGGAGGGGGGTGGCGGCAGGGAGTAGGATCAGAGAGTTAGGGAGGGATCCAGCCTCCTAAACTCCTTCGTGCTAAGCGCGCGCACACCCACCAGCTGCCGAATGAATCTTGGTCTTCCTCCGCAGAGACATCTTCAGCGCCTTGTCGAGGCCGCGGGGGTGCGTCATGCTGGAAGTCTGCTCTCTGCTCGGAGCCTGCTAAGGGCTGGCCGATGGCAGAGGGAGCGGTAGCCTCGCCATCTGCTCCTCGCCGGCCAGCTCCAGCGCAAACCCTCCAGCCGACAGCGCCGAAGCGGCAGTCGCCGTCGCCTCTGCGGCTGGCGTCTTTGGCTTCCCCGCTCGTTGCGGCAGGAGACAAGGAGCCCCGCGCTGCGTGGACTTCGACTGTCAGCTGGAGATTTTATCTGCAGAACGCAGCGCAAACCGGAGTCGGTAGGCCCTGCTGAGAGGGGAGATTGTCTGGCTACCTGGCTCATCTTGTCCTGTAGGTTGGGCTAAGCAATCGCTTGGCAATCCTAGACCGATCCTGCTGGTTCCCTCAATCCATTAACTATCTCTTATCTTTTATTCCGTTGTAGTCACTATTTAAATTCATCAATATCTTCCCTTATTTAATCTGCAAAACTCTTTATCATGAAGCTGTTTTTCTCTACTGTTATAATATGATCCATAAACTGATTCCAGTCTTTAATAAAAGCATCCGTAGATTTCTCTTTCATTAGACTTGTCAATTTTCCCATCTCTGCCAAGAGACCATTTTTTTATGCATACATACATACATACCATCACACTATTTCTTTTTAAGGCAAGTAAAGCTATGTAAAACACAGAAAAAGTATGATCAGTTAAATAAATTTAAAGTGGGAGATAAAAGAAACAGCATCCAGCTAGAAAATACAGGCAGTATATTGATATTGGAAGTAGAACATTGTCAGGTGTCTCCAGAGTAGGCTGAATCAGTGCAATAGCCACACAGGAATCCAAAAAACAGCTGATAAGTAAAATCTACCTCTGGCAGAAAAGCTGAGAAGTATCACAAAAGATTTCCAGCAGCCATGCAAGCTCTTTTTATACAATCAGGGTTCAGATTTCTTATGTCTCTTTTTCCAACCTGCTCTATATAAAGAAATATAAGTGATTCTCTTTTGGTTTTAGTCTTAATAACAACCTGGTGGAGTATCAGATTATTTACTTTTGAAAACATGAGAACCTATTTTCACAAGAACATATACAAGGATTCATTTGTTAATATTTTTATGAAGATAGCCATAGGTATCTATGGTGCATAAATTACTTGTGGCATTTGCACGATATTGTCATGCAACACGCAACATAATTTGATCCCTTGGTTACCCGCCAACACTGATGATGGCTTTTTGGGCGGTATGCTTACTACCATTAGGAGCATACCAAGAGCAAGATAGGGAGCAGGCAATAAGACAAGTGCTGCTGAAGTTAACAAAGAGGCCATTGGTGGGTGAGAAGTCAGCTTACTCTGTGGGTGCACTGATTAACTGTTTGGTGGTTGGTGCCATAGTACAATAACTACAGAGGAGGGGGGGGGATTGTTAAAAAAAATGATCCCCTCCATGTAACAAATATGTTAACCTTGCCATTGATTAATATTTATTGAATTTTATAAAAGAACCCAAATTTTAAATGTTGTGGAGCTGGATCCAGTATGTGCTACTTATTTTTGTTCCAAAGTGGTTATCGCATGCTTTTTATATCTCCAAAATACTTTCTATAGGCAATCAAGTTCATAACTTTTATGGGGGCTAAACACAACAAATCTTATAGGCATGTCTGGCAGAAAACTCAAATTTTTCTGGAGAAGGTCAAGGGTTTGATTTTCAGTAATCTTTGCTATACTGCTTTCCATTTGTAAACTGTGAGAGTACTTAAAAGAAAAATATTTTAAGCAATGTTGTGGTAGGCAGAACAATCCAATGGTCTTGTTAAGAGTCCTTGTTGTTGTTAATTGCGAAGTCGTGTCCGACCCATCGCGACCCCATGGACAACGTTCCTCCAGGTCTTCCTGTCCTCTACCATCTTCTGGAGTCCATTTAAATTCACACCTACTGCTTCAGTGACTCCATCCAGCCATCTCATTCTCTGTCGTCCCCTTCTTCTACTGCCCTCAATCTTTCCCAGCATTAGGCTCTTCTCCAGTGAGTCCTTCCTTCTCATTAGGTGGCCAAAGTACTTGAGTTTCAGCTTCAGGATCTGGCCTTCTAAAGAGCAGTCGGGGTTGATATCTCCTAGGACTGACTGCAGTCCAAGTCCTAAAGTTTTGCTGGCTGCAGACCAAAGGGAGAGAAGTTGGAAGATCCCTATTTTCAATTCCTTAAGCTTTTTTGTCAGAAAAAAGCAAGGTTCCTCCAGTAGTAATGAATGTCATAGAATAAATGAAGAACAAGTCTAAAGAAGGTTTAAATATTAAAGGTGTTGGAAACATGGTGGGCTGGATCTAAAATCAATGAGTCTTCAATCCCCAGTCTGTTCTTTCTAAGACTGACTATTCCCACTGGCAAAAAGAATTGGCTTTGGAAAATGGCAAGCAAGGAAGAGACAATTGTCTAAGAAAAACAGAAAATTAAATAAGCTGTTTTAGTACTTGATTAAGAAGTTTTGACGTAAAATCTTGGGCAAAGTGCTTCAACATGCAAGATTTGCTCTTTAACTAAAATTTTTAAAAGTATTGGGAGAAGGCTCTATGATACTCCTAGAAGTCACAGAAAGATGCCATAAATGTGAAATTCTTTCACATTTAAGAACATCTTTCAACTGATCTAGTAATACAGTATATTGGGTGCAGCAAATTGGTAATTCTATGAGCTTTGTCATCCACTTTTTTATATTCTTTTAACAGTTTTATGGCTATTGATGTGGTAATGTCATATGTTAATATAGCTTTCCTCATCACTCTTCAGATGCTGGGATTTAAATCCCCAAATTTTCTACAAGTATGATCAAAACAATTGTACTCCTGGTATGCAGAAGTATATTGCATTTGTAAAACCACAAAAAAACAGCAGAATTAATCCTTCAGGATGAACTATGCAGTGAAGAAGGTCTCTGATTCAGAAGTCAAACAAAGGAAACACGATTTAGTAGCTCATTATATTAAATACGAGTTATAGTTTCTTAAAGTTGTTTATTCTTCTACAGAGCCTACCGTTCTTCCTCTGATGTAATGATGTGTTTGAAGTAATGATCTGTTCAAAGTCCACGTCATAGATTATTACTGTAACTCTATTATGAAATGAATATCTCCCTATCTCAATAGTATGTATTATTTATAATGTGTCTAGCATACCCTTCCTTCAAATAAAGAGGAGTTGACAAACAGCCCTGGGAACAACAATAGCTAATCCATAGCCTGCAATAAAGAGAAGGAAGGGAAGCAGAACTGTTCCATCAAACTGGCTCAGCTTTGTTCTTGTTACTGGGTAACCACTTTTGTCACCAGCCATTCCATCAAGAATCTAAGCTCTTTCTATCACATCTAGTCTTTAGAAGAATTGGAACTTTAAACATTTGCATCTGAATTTTCTTTCCTCTTTCTTCCAATCTGCCCTATATAACTTATTACTGTTTACAAAGGATTACAATAAAGAACAGAAAGAGTTTGTGTACTATATATATAGTGTATATTATCTTGTTCCTATTCTGAGTACGGTGTGTACATGTGAATATTGAAACTTAAGAAAAAAATAATATCCAGCATGCATTGATCACACCTCTGTCTAAACATTCCTTAGTTTTTTACTTGTCAAATGCACAGAGTTTTCACCTCCTACCTTCTCCCCCAATTGCTTAATTGCAGGCTTTGCAATTTCTATTATTGTTATTCCTTCTTTAACTAGCTTGTACTTCCAAGGAAGAAAAGCCTTGTATTGGCCGAAAGTGGGAAAGAAAGAGACTCTGCTCTCTGTTCAAACTTCTGTGAAAAAACCAGCTAGCCCCCAAACCACTTTTTTTTTTAAGCAGGATTACTTTGTTAGGCATTTTTCTGTTCTGGCACTGATTTGGTTCTTTTCTCAAAAAAATCTGTCTTCCCAATCCACTGAAGATGACTGCTGATCTTCCTCCATTCTTTGTCCTTGGATTCTTTTAATCCTTTGCTTAGCTCAGTGGTGGCGAACCTATGGCACAGGTGCCAGAGGCGGCACTCAGAGGCCTCTCTGTCTCCCCAGTCCTAGGCCTTCAGCTGGGTTTTATACAACCTTTTCGCTTTAGGTCTCCACTGCCGTGTGCAAAAAAAAAAAAAGGTTCAATCAATCAGTCAATTTTAACTTCTCTTGGGAAAAAAAAGATCTTGCTAAGGTGGAATTGATTGATTAAACTTTTTAGTCCCACCCAGTCTGCCTTTACCACTGCAGCCATGCCCACCCAATGGGCCACACCCAGCCAATGGGCCCACCCAGCCAATGTGGGCCACACCCACCCGGCACCAAATGATGCATAAGTGGATTTTGGGTTGCAGTTTGGGCACTCGGTCTCTAAAAGATTTGCCATCACTGGCTTAGCTGATCACATCTTTCACCATCAGCATCATATGTAGACTGTGAAAGAACCCTTCTTCCCCAGTTCCCTCCTACTCTAACTCTTATATACGTCTCTAAAAAACATGTGTGCCCATTTGCAGATGCTCTAAGAAGTTAAGTTTTTTTTAATTGTCTAGATGCTTTAAACCTTACACATGGGTATCAGATTCTTCTTCCTCCAAAAGAAGCTTTTTAACATTGACATACACGATGCCGAGAGAACAAGTGGAATTATATTCTGGTTTTGTTTTGTTTTTTTAAAAAAAATATTGGCAGATTAGCAGCTATGAAGGTCTTGGAAATGATGCTCATATGTTGTGATATGTCTGTACCTACAAAGTTCAGAACTGGGCAAACCATGATATTTCCTTCGACAGCTAATGTCAGACTTTAAAAAAGCAGGATACCCGTGGACAGCCAAGAAAACAACATGAGGGATCATTGAACAAATCAGACCAGAATTCTCATTTGAGCCTCAAAGTAACCTACTTCAGGCACATTTTGTAAAATGGTCTAATGCTAGAAAGGTGGAAGGAAAGAGAAGAAGAGGACAACCAGCAGCAAGGTCACTGGACTCTTGTTACAGTGGTAATGAGTGCACCATTGGGGGAGGGGGGAGAACCTGAAAGAACAGGTTGGGAATCTATGTGGCTGCTAGAAGTCAAAAGTGACTTGATGGCATCCCATCAATCATGGAATCTCATCTTGATTGTCGGGGGGGGGGGGAAAGGAAGCTTATCTGCTAATGCTGGCATACCTCCCACGTTGTTTCAGATGAATTCTTGCCTCTTAACAATAGCAAAAACTGTCTTTCACATCCTCTCCCAAAAGGAATTTTCCTAATTCCTTTTCCTCAAAGGAATTCTATTTGTTTGATTCCTTTTTGCTGGAGAGAATGTGATCACACAGATACATATACAACACACATATAGGTATTCCTTGCTTAATAACCAGTAGCTAAAAGGACTAGAAGACTCCCAAGGTCCCTTCCAGTTCTATTCTATTCTATTCTATTCTATTCTATTCTATTCTATTCTATTCTATTCTATTCTATTCTATTCTACTCTACTCTACTCTACTCTACTCTACTCTACTCTACTCTACTCTACTCTGTTGT